GGAATTTTTCTAAGTCCAAGGGGCATAACTCTGTCAAAAATGGTGCGATCGTACCCAGAACAGAACTTGACCTAGATATTTATCTGATAAATCTGTATAAATCAGTATGTGCAACGGTTGCGAAGAAAATAATTGGAAACTAAGTGGACCGATAGACCGACCGACAGACAGACAGCAGCAAAGCAATATGCCCTCCCTTCTTCGAAGTGGGGCATGAAAATTTCGAGTTCCTATTATGAACAATGAGTAGATTTGGAACTTCATGTACATTAAAAATGCGGAGTAACGTGCTGTACCAGACCTTGCATAACCATTCCATCAAATTCCTCTTGTCGAAAGATCCATGAAATACTTTGGAGTTGTTACACCAGATACTAGTAGTACTGATTATATACTCGTTAAACAATGGATGCCCGGATCTCAAGACAGTTTTGCAGGTGTCATAACAGTATTACACTTTGGTTCACGTCAAATCATGGCTGACGGAAAATAATCCCGGAATTTTCCCTTCCGATTGAGGCATTTTGATACGAGACTGGAGCTGAATTTTTTTATGAGATGAAAATCAACATGTAAACTTCCTGTATTGACCAGATTTATTAAAATTTAGGGCGTGCTGATTTTTCTATATACTGTCAAGAGTGGGGAGTGATTAGGCCCTGGACTAGATTTTCAAACACCTGCTCGACTTCGACCGAAACAAACTTGCGTGCCTTGCTGGATGGCTATGTATTTTTTGGTACTAAAATCTTTATAAAGAATGGTTTTACAAGATCTGAAAAGGAAACTTCTGAGAAGTTTGTTTTGAATTTATTACACCTACTCAAACTTGCGCATTTTTGGTAAGAATATATAGCAGAAATTAATACTGTTGTGCAACCTGCAGTAAAACCGAATTTTATACTTAGAAATATTGTAGTCTAAGAATTAAGGTTTTATTTTGTGAGTTTAGACGGAAAATGAGAAATAATGGCATTTTTCGGCCGTCATTGCTGTTCGTTCGTGTTTAATGGAGCAAAGAAAATTAGTCCAGATTTGCTCTAAAATAAATTATGTTGGCCACACCACGGCCTGATTTGGATGTATCGGGTTGAGAGAAAGGCATGAAATTTGGAGGACAGCTTTAAAAATACCTTGCCATCACACTCGTTAACATTATATACTAATAAATAGTTTTAAAATCTACAAATTAAAAAAATTTAGACCACACTTGGAGCAAAATAAAAATTCTGAATATGTGTAAACATCGGTTTATTTGGAACACATTGGTAACAGATAAAGAAATCCGGTCGGAAAAAATAATTATCGAGGCAAATCAATCCAAATTAAGCAGAAAACACCTTATTATTTCAATAATATTTAATTTTTCAATGCCCTTTTTAAACCCACCCCCCAACCTTATGACAAAAACAATTTCTTTCGCCCTGTTATAAAAAGCAAACTTATTTTGAACAATTTATCATCCTCATGTTAATCAGTATGCACCCATTAAAAAATTAAAACGGAAAAACCGCACAAGTTTAACGCGCAAGATCATTACATACAGTTCAACTTTTGCCATATTTTTAGAAATCCGTGTTCACCGCGAAGCCCCCTGTCACGGAGTTTTGCCCGTAATTTTCCTATCTTGGGACGCAGTTTTGTCAAACTTGGTAAATACATTAAATAATCATCATAGATCGGGAAAATAGCAATATACCGGCTAGGAAAAAATTTAAGTTTAATTGCAGGTGTCATAACAGTATTACACTTTGGTTCACGTCAAATCATGGCTGACGGAAAATAATCCCGGAATTTTCCCTTCCGATTGAGGCATTTTGATACGAGACTGGAGCTGAATTTTTTTATGAGATGAAAATCAACATGTAAACTTCCTGTATTGACCAGATTTATTAAAATTTAGGGCGTGCTGATTTTTCTATATACTGTCAAGAGTGGGGAGTGATTAGGCCCTGGACTAGATTTTCAAACACCTGCTCGACTTCGACCGAAACAAACTTGCGTGCCTTGCTGGATGGCTATGTATTTTTTGGTACTAAAATCTTTATAAAGAATGGTTTTACAAGATCTGAAAAGGAAACTTCTGAGAAGTTTGTTTTGAATTTATTACACCTACTCAAACTTGCGCATTTTTGGTAAGAATATATAGCAGAAATTAATACTGTTGTGCAACCTTTAGAAGGGCTCATATGTCACTCATATATCATGTTTGTTGCTTTACTCGAAGAAATGACTATGTGGTTGCCAAGCTTGCAGATGATCTTTTCTGAGCAAACATGCCGAACAAGCACCTTAATAATTCTTCATTTTCATTCGCTATATAAATAAATAATTATGGTTTCAGTTTTATTTTATTATCGTTTTAAGAACAGCGTGATATTTTGCTTGGCGGGACATCTAAAATTTGGTATGCTGATTATCATATTATTATCGATTGGCTGTTCAATTTCATTGCAATGAACGGTAATTTGCATATCAAATATATAACCCAGGAACGCACTGACCAATGAAATTCCACACTGAAAAAATAACTAGTAAAATTCACTAAGAAGACTAATAAATTTTCTGTCCATAGCATCAATACCTTAAAAGTAGTTTTACTAGGTATTGGGTAGATTTACTATATTACAATATTTTTAGAATTTATAAGTAACTTTCACTAAGTTAGTAGGTATCTATACGACCCCCGCTGCATGTGACACCAACTACTCCCTATCTTACCCAATAAACAGAATATAGTTAAATTAGCTAGGTATTTCTTTCAGTGCATGGTTGTTTACTACTACATTTTTGTAAATATTCTATGTCAACATATGGTCAGTCCAAACTCCTGTTTGGTTTATTAATTTATATCAATTATTACAATGTACAATTTCATAATAATTATGAACAAGATACGAAAGTCAGAAAAAAAATCTACAATTTATTGATAAATAACAATTAAACATCTATATACTCTGTTGCTCGAAAAAATGACGATGTGTCGTGAAAACTAATTTCCATATATGCAGTATACTGTCTTCTACAAAAATTTGAATTTTTCAATTAAAATTTGTATATGAAAATTACAAATTTTAATTGAAAAAATTCAAATTTGTATGTGACAATACAATGCATAAATCTACACTACCTGAGGATGCTTCCATACAAATACGACCAATCATGGCTTTGCTATTCTTGAGAAGAAGATTTTTATAAAGAATTTTTTCTATATAATTATTACATCTATTTATTTCTATGTAAAACTTTGGTCAGCCATTGTTGCCACGCCCTACCACCGGGGTCATGATTTGAAGAAAATTGAATCTACTTACCTGAGGATGTTTCCCCATAAGTTTATTTTTTCTTGGCACAGTGGTTCTTGTAGTTAGAATAATCTAACTGTGTCTCGGCACAGGCCCTCACCACAGTTAGAATACGTCCCATATACTTGCAATGTAGCAAATCGGAGCGGATCCGCTTCGAAACGATTTTGAAGAATATAAAATAATTTACACTGGGAATAACTACCAAAATAATCAAAACAAACCTTTTTGAGATTGCTTATGCCTTTTATCCCAAAAAATAATCCATATAAATACGAAAATTCAATTAATTTTCTCAACGTTTTTCTCTCAATTCAAATTACCTGCCATGTTTACATTCAGAACTCTCTAGATTGTTCCTAGTAAATGCACTATGCGAGTTATCGCCCGTGTTTCTTTTTGCTACATTACAAATGCATGGAACAAATTCTATCAATAAACCGGGTCCGTAGGACAATATCATTTTAACGATAGAACAATTTCTATCTATGGTTCTTGAGAAGAGGATTTTTAAATCATGCAACCAAATTTTCACTATTTCTGAATTACCCCCCCCCCCCCTTGAATAAGGGTGTGGACCTTCATTTGAACAAACTTGAATCCACCCTTCTCCAAAGGATGCTTTTTGCAAGTTTGGTTGAAATTGGCACAGTGGTTCTAGAGAAGAAGTTGAAAATTTGAAAAGTTTACAGACGGACTGACAGACACGCCGGACAAAATGTGATCAGAAAAGCTCACTCAAGCTTTCAGCTCCGGTGAGCTAAAAACTTGAAATGGCATCTCAAAAGAAAGCATGACATTGGGGAAGAAAGAGGCGGTGAGGTAGATCCTGTAGTCCAATAGGAAAGTTCCTGTGAGCAGTACATGTAAGAACTGAATTTTGGGTCGGCCAAGATCCTGGAAACCTTTGAAAGGTGTTTTTTTTTGTCGCTCACTTCAGGTATTTCAGGTTTTTACCAGCTTTATGAATAATATCCGATAATAAACAATAATTTAAATCCTATTTCTGAATGTTTATTTACCTTCCAACGAATCAAGAAGAGCCATTTGTTGAAGTGGACGTAAAAATGAAAATCTTTTAAACCGACATTCCAAATCCATAAGGGACTGTTTCTGACCATTGAAAAGGTAAATAAAGTATCAAAAATTGAAGTGAAATATATGATTAATTATCGGATACCATTCTAAGAGCGTAAAAAAGCATAAACTACAAGAAATAATACCTGAAATGAGCGACAATTTTTTTTTTTACAATGCATGGATCTGTAGCTCTCTGCTGTATCTGTCCGAATTTTCTCAAGCAGAGAGCTACAGTTCTGCAGCTACATTAATAACAACTTTTTTTTAAAACCAGTTGACGTAGACCTCTCGGTACTTGAAGATAAGAAACATTGGCCCCTCCTTTCACCAGATTTTCTATTTGTTTAGAAATTATTTCCCGTCTTTGATAAGTACTAGAAGACTGTGCATGTTTCCATGTCATCTTTGGAAAGACTTACAAATATAAAGGTAGAATTTTTTTCAAATAAATTATGTTAAAAAATTGTAATTGGACTACAGTTAATTAATAAACTATTGATCACTGGATTATAAACTAGTGGATGAAAAGAAAGGTCAACACTATGTTAAGCTATAAAAGCAAGGACTTTAAATCATGCCCATAAACTTGAAGAGTAGAAGTTACGTCGAGCCAAAATGAATTTTAACATCACAGTTTCTGAAGAAGATACTCGCTACAACATTCCGGTGGTAGGACTTGGTACACCCTATTTCTATCTTATTCATATCTTGACCCTTACTTGTTCAGTATGCAGCATCACATCGGTACTTACTATTCTTGTTATATCGTTTCGGTTTAAAACTGCACACACTTTCTTTAAATCATGGTCAAAGTGCGAACGTTTTGCCGTTTATTTGGCTCTTTGTGATGGTTTCCTTTGCTTAGGACAATGTATGGATCACATTCAAATGGTCATAGCTAAAGACCATGTTCATCCGATTGAGCTGTGTGAATTCTATGGTTTCATAACATTCCTTTTTTGTGCTGCCCAAATGTTTCTAGTATCTATCATTGCAATTAATGCATTTGTACTCATGAAATTTAGTAAAAATATTTTTCTTGGAAAATATGATTGGAAGCTTTACTCGCTAATGTTTGGAATTCCGTTTTTTGAATGCCTTGGTGCAACTTTTGCAGATGAAATCGGACCTATCGGTGCCATGTAAGTACTAATTCTTTTAATTATATTAAACGTAAATTTTACTGGGAAAAAGACGTTAATGGTCACCTAACAAAAAAATCTTTATTCATTTGATAACTTCAACTTTTCAATCGTTATTTTTACCTGACTTTCTTTAAATTATTATATTATTTTTATCATTTATTCCAAGCTCTCTGATTTGCTCAAACTCGATCATATGATTAAGTATATAACAGCATAAAGACTTGAGTTACTATTTATAGAATCTGAAATGCATATCGACTTGATGTTTCTTAAAATGGAGATAATTTTCAATAAAACAAAAATAGTACTGATTTCACGATTATAGCTAATACAGAATATGACTTGATGTTTCTGAAAAAAAAATATTTACTTCAACTTGTATTATACGGCGCCGTTGAAGGGCCAGGTAAAAAAAATATTTTTATTTGTTCGGACAAATTAGAAATTCGTTCGGACGAATTAGTTATTTGTTCGGACGAATTAGATATTGTTCGGACGAATTAGATATTCGTTCGGACGAATTAGAAATTCGTTCGGACGAATGAGTTATTTGTTCGGACGAATTAGATATTCGTTCGGACAAATTAGATATTCGTTCGGACAAATTAGATATTCGTTCGGACAAATTATTAAATTGTTCGGACAAATTAGTTATTTGTTCGGACGAATTAGATATTCGTTCGGACAAATTAGAAATTCGTTCGGACGAATGAGTTATTTGTTCGGACGACATTAGAAATTCGTTCGGACAAATTAGTTATTTGTTCGGACGAATTAGATATTTGTTCGGGCAAATTAGATGTTTGCACAAATTATCCTGTAAAGAGAGATATACAATTTGTCTATTCAGGAGGATTCATCCTTTTTTAATACATAAATAGCTCTTTGGACCATGACATACACACGTAGCAACTAGACATGTGATATTAAAGTCGGGTATGTTGATTGTAAATATTCGGAAATAATGGATCTATACCGGTATATATTATTGGCCTAAAGTCTGCCATTCTGAAAGTATATTTTCTGAGAGTCCACTAGTAAATTCAAAGGGTCAGTTACTTCTTATCAAACATCTTTTCACTCCCACCCCTGACTAACACTGGGGTGCCAGTGGTCAGTTACCGCTTCTTTGAAAAGATGAGATCCACTCCTTAAGGTTTTACTCCTACTGCAGGCAATTGGTACGGGATAAAATTGGCATTGAAAAAGTAAGCCCCCCCCCCCCCCCCAAGCGAAATAGGACTGTCAACATTGGGCAACTTTTCCTGAGTCACCCCCTTTTTTTTTTGCTTGTCAACTTTTTTCAGGTAATAAAAAAAATTTTCTGTGCCCCCCCCCCCCCCACTTTCAAAAACGATGCTACGTGGCTGCATTGTATTAAAATATAGAGCCTCTTATTGGAGGGTGTTAATTTTTTTAAGGTGGGGCTTACTAGCTAGGACATTTGTAGATTTGCTTCTATACCGCTGTTCCCACATTTAAGTATTTTGTGATAAAGGAACAAAAAGAGGGAATCCCATAAGTCCATCTCCAATGGATTGTTTCTAAGATCGTTAAAAACTATTATTAAGTATCTATATAAATTTTATTTTATATTTAAATATCAGAAAAGCGCATGAATTAAAACATACAGGTATAATATTGACCAAATTAAACACACGCCCCTTTCCGGGAAAAGGATAAAAAATAGATGAATACATGTACGTTCCTTGAAAGTGCAGTAAAATTTAAAAACACATCATAATTTAATGCAAGTTAAGGTTCTCAATGATTAAGACAATCGATCGTTTTTTAAATAGAGGAGTGGGGGGGGGGGTTGTTACTTGAAAATATTTTGACATTCATTCATGATTTATTTTCCCCGTAAAAGGGGTTGCTTTCATAATTTCCCTTTCTATGTGAGTCATTGGCCTATCAAACCTTCGAACTGGTACTCAACTGTAAAAGCGTATAAACAAAATTAAGAAATGCTGAAAGTGAAATTAAATAGTTTGTTCGACTACATGTACCTCTCCAATAACGGGAGGGGGCTATAATTATGCTCTGAAAATCAATGGACTAGGGAATATACCAGATTGATCGGTTGACCTCGTAATTCGCCGGCTCGCGAGTCATATGAACAACCTGGGATCAATACGGACAGGTTCATTTTTGTGAAGTTTTCTAAATTCACAAACAGGAATATTTAATTAAAAACTCAATGAGGACCTTTTAATCATTTTATACACCGCATATGTACCAGATTAATTGATTGAATGTTTTACGCCGAATCGGCAATATTTCAGCTACAAATCGGCTACATATGTATCAGAAATGTATTTCAAAAATCAGTCACATGTCATGATTAATAACTGCACGGTAGTGAATTTGTACTTAAAAATCATAACAAAGTCATCAACATTAAAACGACTTATCTTCAAAATACTTATTGATAATGTTGTTCATTAAAGTTATTTTGCAAAGAATCAAAATAAAATGAAACGTCTTGGTGCAAACCGCACATTATTCGCGGTTTCCTGATAGTTGTTCACAATTTCTCTAATTTGTCCGAACAAATAACTAATTCGTCCGAACGAATTTCTAATTTGTCCGAACGAATATCTAATTCGTCCGAACAAATAACTAATTCGTCCGAACGAATATCTTATACGTCCGAACAAATAACTAATTCGTCCGAACGAATTTCTAATTCGTCCGTACAAATAACTTATTGTCCGAACGAATTTCTAATTTGTCCGAACAAATATCTAATTTGTCCGAACAAATAACTTATTTGTCCGAACGAATATCTAATTCGTCCGAACGAATATCTAATTCGTCCGAACAAATAACTAATTCGTCCGAACGAATTTCTAATTTGTCCGAACGAATATCTAATTCGTCCGAACAAATATCTAATTTGTCCGAACAAATAACTTATTTGTCCGAACGAATATCTACTTCGTCCGAACAAATAACTAATTCGTCCGAACGAATATCTAATTTGTCCGAACAAATAACTAATTCGTCCGAACGAATTTCTAATTTGTCCGAACAAATAAAAATATTTTTTTACCTGGCCCTCCAGCGGCGCCGTAGTATTAATATTTTTTTCATGTTCCGTAATTAATAAAAAGTAACGATGCCTTAAATTAGGATCTACTTTATATTAAAACATATTGGATATGTTTGTCAAAAATTGATACAAAACATAATCTTTCAAATCAGTTCATTATTTGAAATAAGTAAATCCTCTAAATTACTCCATCAATATATAGAGGAAACATATTAACATTAAACAGCTTAATTTATTTTGATCTCTAGTCCCTAAGTGTTAAAGAAAGAAAACTTGTGCCTTGTTTCCATTATTTTCACATTTTGTTTTCTCAATCCATGTAAAAAATAATATTACAATTGTAGCCCTTTAATTCGGTCAATCCATTGATATATCGACTTCACAGAAAAGCATATCGACCTCGCACTTCGTGCTCGGTTGATATGCTTTTCTGTGAAGTCGATATATCTATGGATCGACCTCATCAAAGGGCTATGTTTAGATTTACCAAAATCAGAAGCTTAAAAACTTACGACTTTTCAACTTTATACACAACCATTACCCACGATAAGTTAAAGTCCCATGCGTTTCGTTTTGATACCATTGACAGCTGCTTTTTAAATAAAAATTGAACTCGTAAATTTACTTACCTTGACATTGGTCATTTGCAAAATTATTTTGCTAACACATTCTGAATGTACACACAAGTACACTGAAGATGACATCAAAAAGATGCTTGAATTTCTGATTGACAATATCTATGTTGTTTTCGGAGACCAGATCTTCCAACAATCTTTTAGAATTCTCATGGGTACCAACTGCCCCCCGTTATAAGCAGACCTATTTTTGTATATTCATAAGAAGCAGTTGTTGGTGCAAAATCTTATGCGTGAAAAGAAGAGAACACTTGCTGTGGCCTTCAACTCGACAGTTAGATATATCGACAACCTATTGTCAATTAGCAATAGTGATTTCCATTCTGAAATACAATTTATCATTGAGTCAAATGTTGACTGACGTTTTTCATACTAATAGCGAACTGACGACGGATTTTTCTGTTATTTCCCGATCATGACAAGGAGCCAACGGCAGATGACCGGTCGGCAGGGGATGCTCACTCTTCCATTGCACCTGATCCCAATGTTTTGGGGGCCCGTGTTTGCTCTGCTTCTATTTTATATTGTATTGTGGACTTTTGATCTTTAATACTGTTCGTTATCTCCATTTGTTTCATCTCATTAATCTAGTCATCTGCGATTTATGCTTTGATTCAGTACGCAAGAGCATGCTCTTTGAATTCGAATAAACAATTTCTATCACCGTAGCGCAGATGACGATCTGGTGGAAGCTGTGTAAAGTCGCCTACAAGATTACCTAAATTCCTCAAAATTGGGCTTTATCTGATCGTATAGAATTTGTTACTTCTAAAACAGGCAAACCATTTATAAACACGTCAAGGAAACAAGGATATCTAAAGGCATAGAAGGTTTCCAGAAGAACTACCTATGGCCTAACGAAGTCCCCTATTGACTTGAGGTAAAAAGATCGATCGTTCTTTTTTCAAGAAGCGGGAACATACTCTGAATTAGCTTTTCATACTAGTTGTTAGGCCATTTTATACTGAATTATCCTTTTTTGGTCTTGCCTGTTTTCCCGATCATGACAAGGAGAAAACGTGGATGTGACTGGGCGACAGGATCGTTTACTTTTCCATGGTACCCGATTTCATCTTTGATGATTTTCGGAGGTCCGTTTTTAATATGCGCCCGGTTTGTGTTGTTTAAGGGACCTTTGAGATTAAATACATTTCGTTGTCTTCCCATTACATTAGGATTTTATAAAATGTTCACAGAATCCCCATAAATTTCAACAACGGAAAAGGGAAAAAAAACAAGTTGTATGAACTGATTCTACATTTTAAGTCACTTCAGAACCACTGAAAAAGAGATATTCTAAGGAAAACTGAATTGAGTCAAGACCTTTTTAAAGATTTCTCTGAAGTTCATTTTATTTTCATCTTTTAGGTGTGGAGTGGCAGGAAATATTTCTTTCCTTTTTTTCTCCACGATACCAGTTCTGATTGTAATGACAATGAACACAGTGCTGTACACACTTACATGGTGCAAGATTCGAACTGAGACAAAAAGAATAAATAGTGAGCTTATATTTCTCTTATTTTCATAAAAAACATATAGGACATTTTCAAATTACAACATCTTTAAACAGATACTAGATAAATGGAATGTATTTATCTCATTGATTAAAATATCATTTTTAATTTTTAAATTCCAAACATAAAACATATATAAATACAACGTATTTTTTCAAATGATCATTAATTATCAATTACTATTTTTAATGTTTTTTTTTTCATTAAGGCACTATTGGTAACACTTGTCCTGGCAGTAAGGCTACACAGGCTGCTAAAACAATGTCTCTCTTTGTCTTATCGTTCCTCATCCAATGGTGGGCAGTGGCTATTTACGGAACCTGGAAAGCTGCTGTCGAGGATGATCCCGTGGAAATCTTTATTATTGCCATGGTTTTTGCTAATATGGGAGGTGTGCTGAATGGAATCGTTTATTTGTACATGCATAAAAATAGAATGAAAAAGTTGTATCCGACGACGTAAACGTAAACATGTATGTTATTTCCGTCGCCTTCCGAGTGCGCGTCCTCTGTCACGGGTTTAAATTAAAACATTTTAAGCTTTTTTATGGAACCGGAAAACTGCATAATCTTGAACAAATATCCAAAATATACTATGAAAAATATCATTCTTAAGAGTTCTTCATTCGCAATCGTATGATTAACCAGCGATATGATTAACCAGCGATATGTAAAATTTCAAAAGTTAACATATTCGAATGATTTTTAATATTTAAATTGAAATTTAAATGGAAAAGCATTCTATTTACTTATTTTGGAAAACAACGAGAGACAACTCTAAAATTGTGATAAAACTCGTGTTTTTCACCATAAAAATGAGCGGAAAATATTTTTACCCCCCCCCCCCCTCCAAGTGAAACAAAAATTCCTTTTACGGGTAATATAAAATTTCAAAAGCTTTTTGTGTTTTAACGTATTCGATAATGCATTTTATAATATTTAAATTGAAACACTTTATATTTTATAAAATGGATTTTTTAGCATTAAAAAAAATTATCTATTTTCAAATTTTGCAAGGAAAGCAAGAGAGGTGAAATAGACATTTTTATATTAGACTGTCTTCAAAGCAAAATAAATAATTTTAAAAAATTAAAACAAATAGAAATTTAACCGCATTTGCTTATAAATGGATTCATCGATGTAAAACAGGTCAGCAATAAATGATAAGAATTTATTGTCAATAATGAAGATTTCTCTCACACATACCCTGGATCTTGGTCCGTGATAATGTCCATCGCTATGCTGCAAGGCGCAGTGCAAAATGTTTTCTTTGTATTTTTTGTGATTTGCAGCTGTAGAGCATGTTCAAAACAATTTTTATTGGTTGAAAAATTTTCAAGTTTTATTCACCATGCACTTTTACACGTCATTATTATCCGGAAAAATCATGACGATTTCCTTTCATATCTTAATGCTTACATTTTATCAATTATCTGATGAGAAATGATAATGAAATTGAAACAATATTAATACTAAGTTTAAAGCAATTTTTAAAAATATTTTACTCATGATTTTTACTTTATCATTTGATATTTTCCTGACCTAATGAAAAATAACATTTCAGTGCACTTTCTATATTTTAAAAGACAAGTATTAAAAAAACATTAGGTTCTAGTGTCATGTCCGATTGCTTTTTTTTTTATAAGATGAAATATTAACTTTTCAACTGCATGTCTGCTTCAGTCCGTTAAAATGATATATGTCGTATTTCTGATAATTTTAGACTGACTAAAATCAATAAGATCTATTTGTTTTGTTACTTTATATAAAGATAGGACTTTCCTGTAAATTGCACAATTTATCAATTACGTTTCATAGATATCAGTGAACTTAAGCAGTGACCAATTTATAGCAAGAGATGTTTGTAAAACACTTATACACCCCCACCCCAAAATAATTGGATTTTTCTAAGTCGAAGGGGCAATGGCCCGATCGTACCCAAAACAGAACTTGACATAGATTTTTTTTGTATATTAAATTTCATTTCCATATGTGCAACATCTTCGCAGAAAATGAACGGAAACTACAAATTATTGGAATATTTCTTAGTCAAAGGGGCATAATTCTGTCCAAAATGACCCAAAATAAAATTTGACGTACAGTAGATATTTTTACGAAAAATCAGTATACCATATTTCATTTCAATATGTGCAACCTCTGCGAAGAAAATGAACGGAAACTGCAAATTATTGAAATTCTTCCGAGTCTAAGGGGCATAACTCTGTTCAAAATGGCCCAAATTTACTATAAATCTGTATACCAAATTTCATTTCAATATGTGCAATCTCTGTGAAGAAAATGAAGGAAACTGATGGTGGTCAGACAGACAGACCGACGGACAGCAGCAAAGCAATATGCCCTTCCTTCTTCGAAGGAAGGTTATATTAACTGCATTGAAATATCAGACCCAGTTTAAAGTCAATATAACTATAGAAACGTGGGGATATCTAAGTTCAAGATCAATATCATGTAGATCGGTGGTGAAAATTATTTAATTTCGTATTTCTATTTTTTAGCTCAGATACGCCATATAGAGCGGCTCTCTAAAAATCCATGAATATTTAATTAATATGAGTAAAAATTCTACATAAAGTTACGACGTGAAGATGTCAATTAAAATTTTCTTCTATCCAAAGAAAACTCTGCGTCATGCATGTATATGAAAAAGTATATTTATTCAAATGCATGGGAGACAAGAGAATTTTAAGTCGAAATTCTGTTGTTAACTTGATATACTGGTAAATACAATGGCATGCATGCCTTTAATATTGCCATATTGGTTTTTAGTACTGATGATCTATCAGGACCTCTGTAGGAAAATGTACACCAGGTAGTGAGTACAAGGTTTGTAAATTGTATGTTTCACTTCAAAGCTTAATGTCATCAATTTTAAGAATATGAAGTCAAATGATCGCTTATTCACTTGCACTTGAAAGCATTGTGGTTGGGGGGGGGGGGGGGGTTATCTTTCATGCCAAGTAAACCGCCCAAGTAAAAATCGACTACAAAATGTTTCGTCTCTTTTTAATCACAGAGCTCAGCCATAGGGCGAATTTGACAGTGAAGTCAACAGTGAATGCTTGCACCAATCAGGCATTGGACACCACCTCTGGGATTTCTAGGGGTCCATGTTTATACCCTTTTCACAGTTTTGTATTGTTAATACATAAATACACCGTTTGTTATTTTCACCCTTTAACAACAAATTCTAATAATCAACTAACAGAAATTTTATCCAATCGATATCAAAAATCGCATTGTTTAGAGTGAAGTTGTCATTACTGAAATTTAAGAATTAACGGTACACAAAACTTCTGATCAAAATTTTGCCGACAAATATTGTTTTGTTATTTGAAACCTTGTCAGAATGGATTAAAATGCATCAGATGTATGTTAAAATCTTTCATTAAGCAATTTAAAGGCAAAATGAGAGTTATTTATTCTTCTATATTCATTTCAGTAATTCAAAGTGAAACAAATAATTACATAGAATACATGATCAGTGTAAACAGGTGCCTGCTGACATAGCAGGTAAAAACACTGTCTTTGTTTGTAAGGCTAATTATTTGAATTGTACATACATGTTAGAGGAACTGGAATTTATATTAGTGGTAATCCAACTATATACCCATAGCCCCCTTTCTGGGGAGATAATTTTTCAAAATCAATTTGTCAGTTTTGAATATTCTAAATATTTCCAACTAACAACATGAATTTCAATTACATATTTGTATTGGATTCCAAAGCCTCATAAAATCTTTTTGAATAAAGATGCATAGTGGGTCACAGTAAATGTTCTACCAACCCTCTTCTTTACTCCTCTCGCCGAAATATGGCTAGGATATTGCCGACTCGGCGTTAAAAACCAATCAATTAATCAATCTTTACTCCTCACTAAAGAATTAATCATTGTGATGAGAAACTTCAGGAGTATTCGAAAAGTGGTGTAAAGCAGGTGTGGATACTTCAAAATCCATGGAACTTTTGGAAAATTTGAAATCACAAAATTTTACCAAAATTAACAACATAATCCTCGCTAAATTGTAGTCAAGGCTATTTTTTTTAAATATCATTGACAGTTGCGTTAGCAACAAATATGGAACTCGAAAATTAACCTTGTCATTGGTCATTTGCAAAATTATCCTGTGAAAAAAAAAAGAAGAAGAGGCCCATGGGCAACATCGCTCACCTGAGTAGCTTTGACCATGTTGTTTTTTACCAGATTTCCCCACATTATACATATTGTGACCCCACGGGTCATAATTTGGACAATTTAAAATCTACAATACCCCAGGATGCTTTCGCATAAGTTTCAGCTTTTCTGGCCCAGTAGCTCCTGAGAAGAGAAGTTTTTTCCTATATAGTTCAATGTAATATTTGGATTCTACATTGTGGCCCTGCCCTACCCCCGGGGGTCATCATTTGAAAAATTTAGAATCTACACTTCCCCTAGATGCTTCCAAATAAGTTTCAGCTTTTCTGGCCCAATGGTTCTTGAGAAGATTTTAATTTTTTCCCTATATATTTCTGTTAAACGTTTATTCCCTATTGTGGTCCGCCCAACCCCCGGGGGTCATGGTTTGAACAATTTAGAATCTATACTACCCCAGGATGCTTCCACATAAGTTTCAGCTTTTCTGGCCCAGTGGTTTTTGAGATTTTTAATGATCCACCCTATTTTCGACTTTTCTTGATTATCTCCCCTTGTAATGGGACCTGACCCTTCACTTTACAGTAACAATTTAAACTCCCCATTACCCAAGAATCCTTTGTACCAAGTTTAGTTAAAATTGGGCCAGTGGATCATCAGAAGAAGTCGAAAATGTGAAAAGTTTACAGACGGACAGTCAAAATGTGATAAGAAAAGCTCACTTGAGCTTTCGGTGTTCAGCTAAAAACTCTCTGATTGTACATAAATGTACTCTGAAATAGACATTAAAAATATCCACGAGTTTCTGATTTGACAATATATGTTTTTTTGGCGACCAGGTCTTTCAACAATCCTTTCAAATTCCCAACTACCCGTTATTAACAGACCTATTTTTATTCATATGAAGCAGAATTTGTCTAAAATTTTATAAGTGAAAAGAATAAAACACTCTTACTGAAGCTTTCAACTTCATATTTAGATATATCGCGGAAAAGCGTATTCTAAATTCATGTATGTTTTTTTAATCTTTTAAAAATACACTGCCTAGAAATACCAATATTGGCCATCGCTCTAACACGCTAAAGTTCATTATTTCCTTAGTTATCAAACATATTAAAAACAAATTTAATAACTTTACAAGTTTTTTCTTAATCCTGACTAAATGAAATCAATAGGATTTTTGTTGTTAAAAGCGGATATTGAGGGAAACAGTTTGAACCAATAACGTATTTTGAACGAGAAGATACCGTGATAAAGTAATATCATGCAATGTTGTAAAAATACGTACGAATAATAAATGAAAAGATTTACTT